GAGCTCGGGCAGCGGCGGCCGACCTGGTCAAAGAGGTAGACGGTGACGTCGTCGAAGAAGGACACTGCCTTCTTCTTGCGCTCCAAGTCCTCGCAGAAGGCCTCGGACAGCAGGCTGGGCATCTTGAGCAGGCTGCGCAGGTTGCGCGCGCTCTGGCTCTCGGCCACCACCACGGGCACCGCCGGCGCCTCCTCCTCGCTCTCCTCGCTCGGCTCCTGGATGCTGTAGCAGCGGAGCTCCTCGTCGGACTCGTCACTGTCCTCACTGTCCTCCTCCTCTTCCTCCGGCCGGCCCTCCAAGGCCGCGGGCAGGGCGGGCAGGGCCAGGCAAAGCGGGGGTCTGGGGGTGCCAGGACCCCCCATCCGCTCCGGTGGGGCCATCCCTGACAACAGTCCTGGGGCACCCTGGAGCTCAGAGCTGTCGCCTTGCGAGCCTGGCAGGACTGGGGTCAGCAGGAAAAACTTGGAGCGGCTAGGGCTGGGCACAGGCAGCGCCTCAGCTGAGCCTTGGGACTCGGGAGCGGGCCCGGGACCCGTGGGGCAGGCCCTGGGCTCTGGGGACGACCCCTCCCTGGGGCCAGGGCCCTGTGCATCGCTGCGCTCCTCAGGCCCAGGGGAAGCCTGCACCGACTGCTGCCCGGGACTCTGCAGGCTCTTCAGGCCTGGCTCTGGCCCCAGGGCCTGGACCTCACTGAGCTTTTCCTTGGAGTCCAAGGGCGGCTCAGACTCAGCATCCAGGTCTGAGAAATAGGCGGAATCTCTGTAGGGGTTCTTCTCACTGAGGCCCCCGAGGGAGGTGGAAAGCCCCGTGTCAGGCCTGGGGCTCTCGCCCTCCAAGGCCAGCTCCCCGAAGGCCTTGGGCTCACACGGCTCATGTGCCTCTTTGAGCACAAACTCAGGGGACTCATAGTTCTCCGTGTCATAGCCACTGTCCAGGGCTCGGGGCTGCCCAGCAGGGGTGCCATCAGCTGATGGGCTGAACACTTCACAGCCACCGTCACTGGCTGAGGACGGGATGTCCAGCGAGTCCAGGGAGTCAGGGGTTCCCACCTGCTTCTGCAGAGAGCGGAAGGCCGGCACCACATCCAGCTTCTCAGCCTGCAGGGCATCACTGGACACGTCGGTGAAGACACCCGAAGTGGCCTCGGTTATGTCCTCGTCCTCACTGCTGGGTGGTGCCTCCACACCAGGGGAACTGCTGCTGCTGTCCAGGGTGCTGGCAGCAGGCGTGGGCGAGTCCGGCAGGGTGTCAGGGGCGCTGGCCTCCTCTGAGAGAAGTGGGGCTCCCTCCTGGGAGGGGGAGGGGACAGACGGAAGAGGCAGGTGGGGCCCAGTAGAGCCCTCAGCCTCCTCCGCAAGCTTGGGCTCTGCCTGGGAGTTGTCACCCCCACTAACTGGTGCCTCTGTCCAGGGAGATGTGACCAGGCAGGTAGCAGGTGCCGAGCCCTGGGCAGAGCACATGTGGGGGAGGTTGAGGCAATGGTCCGGCTCCTGGGCAGGGGAGGCTGCCTGCAGCCCAAGCAAGGGCTCTCTGGGGTTCTCTTGGGCTAGGGGGTGGCCCAGCTCTGGGGAGGCCCGTGGAGTCTGCTTTGGGCTGGGGCAATCGTCAGTGTAACTGCCTGGGTCCCAGAACTCAGGACTTCGGCTGCCACTGTTGTTGTTGGCCGACACGTTGGAGCGCCAGTGTCCGTGCTGCGCGGCCCTCCGCGGACCGGTCTCCCCGGGCTCCCCCTCCCCCGGCAGTGATGGTCGGGCCCCCGAGCTCTCCGTGGGGGTTGCACCCAGCGGGTCCTCGAAGAAGGGCGGGCAGAAGGCGGCCACGCCCCAGTCCTCCTCGGCTCCGCGCCCCGCCCCCATCAGGGCCCCGGCCGAGGGCGAGGGCGAGGGCGAGCTCGAGGGGCAGGACGGG